GATCGAGTGATCATGTACCTGTATAGGACAAGAACAGAAGGAATCCAATACGGAAACTACAATGGGCCAGATCTCACGATCTGCGGGGACGCGTCATTCGCTGATGATCTTGAAACTAGGAGATCATCACATGGATATATTGCGATCCTGTTCGGCGGACCTATCCTATGGAAATCAGCCCGGCAAAACACAGTCACTACCTCTACTACAGAGGCTGAGCTGATCGCCCTGGAGCATGTAACCAAGGAAACAATGGCGATTAAGCGATTCTTTGATGAGATCACATTAGATCTGGGAAATATCTGGACGATCTGGTGCGATAATTAGCAAACAATTCGACTGGTTGTAGGGAAAAATAAAAGGATCACCACAAGACTACGTCATGTGGATATCTAGAATATGTGGTTATGTCAAACGTATACCAAAGGATCACTTCAGATCAGCTATCTGGAGACCAGCGGTATGCCTGCAGACGGATTAACCAAGTCACTTACCCAACAACAGTTCGATAAGTTTAAGCAGCTAATCAATATTTAAGATGCAAAGATGTTGATTAAAGAAGATGGAAAAAAGCAGGAACTTTTAAAGTACCCTGATAGTATGGATCGTCACACACAGATCACCGCCTACTGAGACCCTGCCAACTCATCGAACACCTCAATGAGCCCCCTGAGCCGATCAATGAAGATCAACTGGAGCTCAGCCTGACTACGCCTCGCCACACATCCATGGCCACTATACGCTGATGCTGAAGTGCCACTGATCACCTCGTGCATAAGCTCACCAGCATTTGAACGAAAGGAAGAGACACCCTGAGGTGCCTGGATTGGAGACGATTGAGGATTGCCGTGGGAATACCTAATCCCTGAGAGAGAGGGAGAAGGACCACTGTAAGAGTCAGGAAACTACCAGGGACCAGGGTGAGGGGCAGGGGATCTAGCCCAATAATACCTTGGACGACTACGCCCGAACGGCTGATCCGGCGTGGCAGGATCACCAGACAAGCGGGAGGCGGAAGCCCTGGTGAGGATCGGCGAGGAGTTCGTTGATTGGGGGGTGGCCAGGGGAGCAGTCGCCTTGGGCCTGGCCTTGCCCTTAGGAGGGTTGCGGGGGATCAGAGGATACCGCTCAAGAGCATTCCTGGAGCGCTCGACGAAGACCTCGATCTCACAGGACTAATCAGCACTGTCAGCAACACACAGCAAAATACAGCAACAATCAACATACTGTCAACTCTGGATTGCGGCGAGCGTTGATCGCAGCATGAACGGGAACCACAGAGTTCTTGTGACTGATTGGAGTCAGTAAACAAACGAATTAACAAGGGATCAATGATCATACAGAATAGAGCAGGAGTGGGTGCCACACTCAACGCAGCGCTCGCTGTTCGAATCGAGCCGATCATGGCAAATGCCATTAATCAGGCCTGCGTTGAAACGCAGGGCGCACCCACCACACACCTCCTTACGAGCGGCACCAACCTTGATCGGAGCAGCCTTCTTCTTGCCCTTCTTGGGGTGCTTCTTCTCCTGATCTTTGGAGCCGCGAGCAGCTTGGCCAGATTGCTTGGGGGTGATGGGAGCGAGCTCGCTATCGTCCTCCTCGTTCTCATGCTCGTCCTTGTCCTCGTGATCAGCGTCCTGACCACCGTCCACCTGATCGTTGGAACCCTCCTCTGAATCGTAGCCGCTCGTGCCCTCAAGCGGATCAACTGGTGGATCAACAGTCCTCTGCCTCTTGGCTAGAGATAATCGCCTGGCAGACGACGCATTGCGCTTGGCTGATGGCATGATCGTGTGGATTCCGAACGTGTACTGTCTGGTTGTCTGATCAGTCAGTGAGTAATTGAAAGAGAATGGGATTATCAACATACTTGCTCGAGGTAGAGGTATGGAGAGCTTGATCGTTATCAAAGAGACGAAGAAAGGACAGTGATTGCACAAAAGATCTGTTTGTCGCCTTGCAATCAGTTGTTATGGTTACTAGATTAACTGATTAGAGCGGCACTGGAGCAAACAGCAGCCCCACCAAAGTGAAGGAGAGCGATCTTGACAGGGATCAATCAGGTAACAACTCAGCTGCGATACAGGCACCTGGATCAGTGATCCAGGCACCTGGGGGGTGTGTCGCAGCAAGGATCGAGGTGAGGGTGCATATCACGTGATCCGCATCTGGATATTGGACCGATCAG